GGTCCGAGTTGCTAACGATTTTTGGGTTCAGGAGCTGCTTGAGGCTGTGATTGGGAGCTAGAGGGCATTGAGAATATCCCTGCAAAGTTTCAGCCTTCTACGTTGCCTGGTTCGCGAAATCGTTTCCCGCCAACACCCTCTGGGGGTCTCGTGCGCGGGGTTTAGGCGCGTATGGGGGAAGATCCCAAAACGGGAGAAGGACTCTTTGGCGGTCTCGTGCGCGGGGTTTAGGCGCGTAGGTAAGATCTTAAAACGGGAGGATGACACACGGTTCTCTCGACAACATGCGTTTTTGCTGGCTGTAGCAGCGCTGCTATAGCGCTGCATAGCAAAAACGCATAAAAAAACAACAATAAATTCACGGGAGAAAATCAAGTGACTAAGAATATTTTTCCATTTCGACTCGAGGCTTAAGAGTCAGTTTGTTGAGCCTGTGGGCAGTTGCATCTGTGTCAATCCAAGCAGATGAAAAAACAAATTGATCAGGTGGAAAAAAAAATGTAATGAGCTGCATTATTAGATTTCACTAAGCTACAAGACTTTTTTTTTTAGCGCAAGTCAGCATCGACTGTTGAAGCGACGCTTCAGCTTTCATTTTTTAGTAATTCTGCTATATAGAAACGGCATATATAGAAAATATTGCAAAATGTGTAATCCAAACAAGTACGCTTATTTCCTCGCCCGAAACTTGTTTTCTACAATTAAAAGTCATCAAAGCTAAACAGCAAAATCAAATTTAACACCAGAACGGACACACATGTTATTCTAAAAAACTGTACACTCCCATGACCGCTACAGAACTGAAACTGTCTCTGCTGCTTTATCTGAGAATCCGCTATTTTACTAATTCAGGCCTTTTATGCGTTTTTGCAGTGTAGCGCTAGAGCGCTGCAGCAGTTAGCAAAAACACACATGGGTAGAAACGTATACCCAAAATTTTAGCCTACCTGCTTTTCTGGTTGCTAAGACGAAAGTGGGTGACAAAGTTCGTTTGCTTCCGAACTCACACACACACACACACACACACACACACGCAGACGATCTATAGACAATATACGTTTTTGCTCGCAGTAGTAGCGGTATAGGGTTTGAACAGCAAAAACACAGAACCTAGTCGAAAGCGTACCGGCTGCCGGTATGAGGATGCGTTTTTTGCACAGTTCCCCCCGCAGGTTTTTTTCGCCAGTGGCACGTT